TTGTACACGTCCTAAATCTCTATCTATGTACAAGATCTACTTCTTTAGATGAAACTTGAAGATCATAGTCCTTCATAACAACACTCAAACCAAAATCATGTGAAAATAAAAAAATACAATACAAAATCACAGGTTTGGAAAACACCAAGTGAAACATAAAGCATAAGTACATATACATCATGCAAGTGAAAATATGTAATATGTTAGGAACTAACTTGCCCAATATGCTTGAGAACCTGCTAACCTATCAATATGAAACACTACAAGTTTTCCTCCTTAGTTGGTGTTTGTTGAGATTTCAATATTGCATTATTTCGTAACTAAACATATTCATTTTAGGCTTGCTAATGTACTAATTCACTTCGTATAGTTTGTGTATTAAGCCTTGATTTTGGTGTTTGCTGGTAAATTGGATGTAAAGGTTGAGTTTAAGCATTAAAAAGATGGCCAGAGAAGTTGAGGTTGAGTTTACATGAGTAGAGATGAAGCCGCGAGTCTTAGAAGCAAATTAGAAGAAAAAAACAGTTCTACTGATAGAGTTTATACCGGTAGGAAGACAGAAGAATGAAGGTTCTACCAGTAGTAGGTGAATTCTACCGATAGTTAGAGCAGCAAAAGATTGGTGCAGAAGTCTTATCGATAGGTGGTTCACCCTCTATCGGTAGCAAAATTCACAGTACTTTGCACTTTTTCATCAGAGAAAATCTATTGGTAGGTGGTTCATGTTCTATTGGGGATGTTCTACAGGTAGCGAAGGTTACAGAAATTTAAAAGAATTCATCAGATAGAGTCCTATCGGTAGGCAAAGAATGTGCTACCGGTAGGTCGAGGTAGATTTTCACGGGAAGCTTAATTTAAAATCAGATCTTGTCATATCTTTTGGGGATTCTTGACCAATCAAGAGAGGAGATAATTTTTGGATGAATAAAGGCCAAATGTCTAGAGATTTTCCTTCCAAAAAATAGAGACCATTTGGGAAATCAAAAGGAGTCTCAAACCTATGAAGTAGGGCGTATGTCTTAAACTAGGATTTTAATGTTTATGTGATAATTGTGGTATTTCTTGCAACCTTTAGAGTTTCGATTCTTTCCATCATAAACCATCTTCCAATTGCTACATTACTTATTTCCAAGTTTTTGGTTAAAAATCATCCGTCTATAGTAGTTTGAATATGAAAGTAGATGAGTTATAAATTTAAGGTAGAAACTCTTATTCATAGGTGGTACAAATTCTGAAGATTATCTAGCTTTTTTATTTATTGAATTTCAATTTCATTAGTAGTTAACTCTTAAAATTCTCAAACTCAAAGAGCTTTTCATTTTATTTTCCATCATCTTGGATTCCAATTCTTTCCTTGAGAAGATGATCTTGGACTTTTGTTCAATTTACTACACGATACTTTTCTTTTACGCTTGGGAACTTTCATGAAAATATAACCCCTTTGGAGGGCAAGTAGTGTTCTCAAGTAAAATAAAAATTAAAAAATTAACAAAGTGTAAGATATGTGACTTCTTGCCAAGTTTGAAAATTTACTCCACTGGAGTATTTGAACAAACTCCCCCTTTCTATTTTCACATGCAGCATATCTAGTCTAGTCAAGAGTAAATTTCTCAATTCCTCTCATATGTACCTAAAATATTATCCCTCTTTTTGTCACAAATGCCAACTCAATGACAACATGCAACAAACATGGTATAGAATCAAGTTATCCAATATATTCTTATCTTATTTATTATAAATGTCTATACAATGACAAGATATAACTACCTTCACATAGAATCACAGTATAACATGAAGGAATGAATAAGAACATTAAGATTAGGACTAAGAGTAAACAAAAATTTAACTAAACAAACAAAAGCAAATAAATTGGAAAAGTCAATAACAAAAAAATTAAGAGTATTTTAGTACAGGCCATAAATGAATAAGAACACATTCAATCTCCCATATGACCTAGACTAAAGTCTCTACAAAACAACAACTCAAATGGCTACATCTCCTCCATCTCTTCCATTGCGTTGGGGCAGCTCTAGTGTTGAATCCATGTTGTCTGGCACTACCTCGCCTACAATCTGCTTCCCCTTCAGCAACCTCTTAAGTCACCCAACTCTACAAGTAACTGCGCCTATAACAGTCTGCTGGGTCTCCTCAAGGCTCACAATCTTTGTTATCTAATGCATCCAACCTTTGAGAAGTGGGGCAGTATTGCACAATCATGGTACGTTCAACCTTATTCATCATATCAAACAATGATGGCATCTGGGCTGCAAGAATGGTTGAACTTGACTCAGGTGGTGGAGGTGTCCTAGACGTACTGGTCTTAGGATAAACAGGTGGATCTTCAACGATTTCTCCTCTCTCCTCTACATAGTCAGTCTAGGCCTTACTCAACTTCATTGAACTCTTGTTCAAATGCTTCATGGGGTTCTACAATAAGTCATTAGGTAGAACTACAACACCCTTCCCTTGGCAGATATGAGTGATCAAATATCCAAAAGGCAATAGATCTAACACTCGTCCTTCTAAAAAGGCTCTACGGATATTCCAAAAAATCATCATTGAAAAATCAAGACCAAACCCTTTATCAATGTTGTAAAGCATCTGAGCTAGGGAAGTCTGAGACAGGGTATTCAGCTCTATATTGTAGTTAGCTACGAGATTAAGCATCCTACATCCTGAGGTCAAGGATTTTTGGTAAAATGTTAATGTGACCTAGTGTTCAGGATGATCAATGTCATTCAGCTTAGTAGCAACTATATGGAGAAGAGGTAATACGTCTAATGGTCTTGCACTAAATTAATTGTTCTCTACCCTAGGTAGGACCAGTGTGATAGCAATAAAGTCTATAGAAAAAGTAAACTTAATACCTTTGATATAAGTGACAAAGTGATCAACATGAGGATCAAGTTCATTAATTTGAATATGACCATAGAATCCCCTCACAATTCTATCATTCGTCGTCACGGGTTCATTGAACATCCAAGTCCATCCACGGTTGTTCAGATTAGTAACAATCGAATGAGTTACCTCCGTGGTATTTATTCCCCGTTCGATCAATACTAGCTTACAAGAGAATTCTGCTTTGAATTCTCTACAAACTCCTGTGTCTAGAATTGAGTAGCTTCATCGAAGTTCTACTCGACATCTTCATAGACATTCTCAACCCTTGGCGTTTTCTCTCTTCTTTGGCCATCTCGACAATCACTTTTTGAATATAGGTATCACTCGTGTGAATTGATGAAGCAAGTGGTGAATCAACCTAAGAATTGTAGAGATAGTGTTTGGGAGAGCTTTAGTGGCAATCAGTTTTTGAATATAGGTATCACTCGTGTGAATTGACGAAGCAAGTGGTGAATCAACCTAAGATTTATAGAGATAGTGTTTGGGAGAGCTTTAGTGGCAAGGGTTAGGTTTTTTAGGGCATAGGAAGTGAATGAGATGGTTTAGAATGCTAAGAGACCTTTAAAACTCGATTTTATATCCTTGGTCGTCGACTTACTCGAGGTCGCTCGAGCGGTGAGAAGATCAATCGAGTGGTCTCTAAAGCTGACAAATCAGAATCAATCCATTGTTGGAGCAATCTGGTTCCGACATTCACTCATCCATCTTATCCTTCAACCCTTAACTGGATGCATGATGTATATATAATTTAAAGGCAATTCAATGCACATGCATGGATGAATTTGAATCAAAATTAATACAATTTTCAATTTTAAACATAAATGGTCAAAGTTCAAAAAACACAAAAATCACCCAAATTCACATTATAATAGATCCATTCAAAATTCATCATCTCAATATATTACTCTAAGGCATATTTAAGGGTATGAACTCAATTTCATGTATCCTAGAGAACTGTTTCCTCACTTGGTTCAATTTTACTCACACGTTTTCAAATTTTGTTCAACTTGAACAAATTCAAGTGTGACGTGTGTGAAACCGAACTCCAACACAAAATGAATTTTTATTAGTTTAAATCATTAATAAGCTAAGCTCAACATGAAATCCTAATGCATTTTCTAAGTGAATACATGACTAGTTAGTGAGTGTCATAATAATCTTTTTTTTTTTGATAACTCCCCTTTTCTTTTATCCCTTATACTCTATGGCTTTAATTAAAATGATTGTGAATTTTGTACTTTTTAGTGTATGCTTCTATTCAATATTAGCATGAGCTCAATCAATTTTCATTTAAGTATAAGTACTCTGACAATTTAAATGCAATTATTTTTAGCTCTTTATTTATGCCTCGTCTTTTTAGAATTGGTCACATTGGGCTATTTTCTCACAATTGGCCTTCGGCATCTTTTAAGGGGTTGAGGTTTAACTAATCATGTGTTCACCTATCACCAACACTTAGAATCCATTAAGATCATTAATACTTTAAACTACTTAAACTCCTAAGTATGAAGGTGAATGACATGCATGTACTTGGTTTTTAAATTTTTCACAGATAAATACTATTAAAGCACGCTAGGGTGAAAGAGATTTTGGCTAATGAATTATGCAATAAGATTTATGCTACTAAGTTCTATATTCCCTAATGTGATTCATATCACTGCACAATTCAACTTTGATTTAAGGATGAAATCATTACAATGCAAACAAGTGTGAATTACCATGATCGTGAATAAAGAAAAATAAACAAAAGAAAATCTTTTTGGCTTTTTCAATATTTTTGAATTTTTCAAAATAAAAATATACAAAAAAAAAAAATGCATGAAGATACATTAAACAAGGAAAAGAAAATAAAGCAATTATCATAGATTCTAACAATAAATGTAAATATTGATATCAAAACTCTTTTTAAAATTTTTATATTTCTTTTATTTTTGGGTTTTCATATTTTTCTTGTTTTTGTATTTTCATTTTTCTAATGTTTTGGTATTTTCATATAGAAAAAAATAACAAATAAATAAATAAAAATATGTACAAAGTATGACACTAGGGTGTTCGATGAAATGCATTAAAGATCACCTAGGTTCATACTCTCACCTCTCTTACTTCTTAGGAGCCATGACCTTATTTGAAGCACTCGGAGCTTCTAACTTAGTTGAGATGGTGAGTTTCTCAAAGTCCTCCTCAATCACCCATGCTTGTTTTTCCTTCCTACAATTCAGGTTAGGTCGGGGAATGGGTGTTGAACTAACTCTCTTCTCCTCGGATGTATGTAGACCAATTTTGACCTTGAGGGTAGAAGGAGATTTGAGAACCCATGTGGTCCATGTGAAGATGATGCATGATTATGCTTGGACTCATTTGACCTTTCCAAAAGCTTTGAAAAATTTAAGACTTTAAGATTTAAGGCTTTTGATTGGTTAGCTAGATGCACAAGTTTTTTATTTAAGACATCCCTATTTTTCATGAAATGTCTACTATGATGACCATATTCTCCACAAGTATAATACAAATCATGATTAGTTTGGGTTTCATAAAGCACATTCTTCTTTGAGGTCCTACCTTTACCATTTCTAGTCATTTTAGGACTTGTGCTTCCTTGTGGGGGTGATACGTTGTTGTTACCCTTCATAAACACGGTCTTAGAAAAAGTGTTCGTGTATTCATCTGTGTAGCCTAAACCAAGCTTATAACCCAAATTCTTTCTCATAGATAACATATCAAACTTTTCATTGCTTTGGAGAAGTCTTTTAGAGAGTTTATTTGATTCATGAAGATATTTATCAAGTTTGACATATTTTGATTCAAGATTCTTCTTTGAATTAATAAGCTCAGGACACACTCTCTCAAGAAAGCTCACTTGATTAAGGAGAGTTTTGTTCTCATCCTCTAGGCCACATATTTGGGCCTTGGACTTCACCAAATCCACTTGTAGTGTTTTTGTCTTATATTTACCTAAGTTAACCTGACCACTCAAGAGTAGCACTTTCTCTTTTTGATTGAGGAATTCTACATACAATTGGTCATATGCATTTTATATATCCTCAAAACAATCTTCATCATTCACATGTGTGGGGATCTCTTCTTCCAAGTCTTCTATCGTTGTGGTAGGACTTGCCACAACTTCACTCGTTGAAGTATCTTAATGAGGAGAGGAGTGTGAACATACAAAGGCCGTAAAGTTCTCTTCATCATTCAAAGAGGAGCATCACTAGGGGTTGACTCACTTTCACTGTCACTCTATGTGGCCTTCATAGTTCTTCTCCTTTTATCGGGCACGTCTTTCTTGGTTATATTTGGGAATTCCAATGTAATATATCCAAAACCTTGACATTCAAATCATTTCCCCTTTCTCTCAACCTCTTGTCGAGAGTGTCTACCCCCTTTTTATCTTCCCTCCTTAGGAATTCTAGGCCTACTTGACTTTTCTTTCGACCTAGATGACTCAAAATTTCTAGTATTGAAAAATCTTTTGAACTTCTTTGTAATCAAAGCTATGCCCCCCTCTCCTATTCGGGGAGACTTGGAGTTACCTCCTTTTTGTTTCATTGAGCTCAAGGCAATGCCCTTTTCTTTCTTTAGGGATGGAAGGTTCATCTCAAAAGTCAATATCGACCCAACTAGGTCTTCAACTTATACTAACTCCATGTTAACACTTGTTTCCAATGATGTGACCTTAGCATGAAACCTCTTGGGTAGAGATCTCAAGATTTTTCATTTGATCACCAAATCGTCAACCTTGGTGCATAATGCAAATGATGAATTTATAATATTACATAATTTAGCATAAAACTTACTAAGTGTTTTATCATCTTGTATCCTCAAAGTTTTGAACTGAGAGGTGTACCTTTGGAGTCGAGACATCTTCACCTTGGAAGTCTCTTTTGTATGAAACAACCAAGATGTCCCATACTTCTTTGGAGGTCTCACAATTTACGATTCTTCGGAACTCGTTTGGTGTCATGACATTGAATGTCGAATTGAAGCCTTTCGAGTTCCACCTCCCGACTCTATCTTTATTTTTGACCAAGTCCTTGGGGATTTCAATTCAACCACCGCTTTACCACCTTCTACTTATGTGGTGGCAGTTAAAGGGCTCCAACCCTCTTGGAAAGTCAATCAGACTCTCTCATCAATTGATATTAGAAATACTCTCATGTGAGCTTTCCTATAGGCAAAGTTAGAACCATCAAAGAGAGGTGGTCGTGCAATTGACTCGCCTTCTTTTTGAGACTCCATTGAATACTAACTAGAATTAACAATAGATCTCTTGAAGGCAAACTAGGTAAGTAAACAAGAATAAGAAATGGCTACTAGTGTCTACGTGCTCAGGGCAACTACGCTTTGATATTAATTATTTTTTTGGAAAGCTGAATTCGATGTGGATCTTCCCTCATGATTATACGCATATAGCTATAGACACTTTACCTAGAGGGGGGATGAATATTTTTTTTAATTCAACATTCAATTGATTACTAATAAAACCTAATTGACCACAATTACCTATTCTCAGACAAATTTGTCAATGAATAGTGAGAACCCCTTTTAATCACCATAACTCATTTTAATCATGACGATTGATTTTAATTAATCTTCAATTAATTCACTCAACTATCAATCTGATGGCAATCCTTATTACCCATCCAAATTGCATAACTATAGTTGAATAGATAGTCAATCAATCAAGTCAACAAATGCATGGTGCACATGTGTATGCTAACAATCACAAGTGTATATGAAATATGCAAGATTAACATAAGTGATTTGTTGACGCGGAAAACCTTAATTAGGGAAAACCATGAAAAACCTTTTCAGTTCATCAAAGACTAATCCACTACTCGTTAAGTCAACATATAAGTACTCGAGACTTATACCTCAACCAATACCATGGTTAAATGCTCTTTTCTTTATTGTCACTTCGTCAAAGACCCACTTTTAACGTTTAGGGTAGCTTCACTTGGATCTCTCTATAGTGACAAAATTTCGTGATGTCATATAACACAAAAGTAATATCAAAATTACAATTGTTGAATGAGTTGACTTGATTTAATAAAGTGGTGTTGACTCTCTTCAATCTGTTTCTCATGTACACTGTCCTCTGATTCTCAATGAATTTGATGATGATGAGGGCATGATCAGCGTGTTTCTCGATCTTTGATTTGGTGGATTTGGTGAAGATAGGGGCTTGATCAACGTGTTCCTCAATCTTCGATTTGATTTTGACTTTGGTTGATTTGTTGAAGACGACAGTCGGATTGATGTAGTTCTCGCTCTTCAATCTTTGATTTGGTAGATTTGCTGAAGACGAGGATCAGATTGACGTGAATCTCGTTCTTGGATCTTTAACTTGACTTTGTTGAATCTTCGCACCGCTATTTATGTTGAATGGCTTAAAGTTGATTTGGATATCTTGAAGAAGGACTTTGATGGTGTTTCTTCTCCTTAGAGATAGATTTGCAAGACCTCAGTCAGGGATAGACTCCGACAGAGCTTCGTTGCTAATCTTCCCTTTTCCTCTTGAGATGGACTCAAGCAGAGCTTTTTTATCTTCTCTCCTCCTTAGCTTCTCTTTTTGGCCTCCCACAGACCTCTATTTATAGTGGTAGGAGTAGTTATCTATATAAGGATACTTTTACGTTATTACCCTTATATGGGCTTTAGGTAGTGGACTACCCATATATTTGTTGGCTTTAGTTAATTTATGAAATTTAAGTCCAACTCACTTTACCTTTTAAAAGTTTATTTAATTTGGGATTATGGAATTTAAGTCCATTTTAATTTAATTTAATAAGTCTGATTAATTACATTTGGGCTATGGAATTTAGGTCTAACTCAAGCCTATTTAATTAAACTCTTACACTTGTATGATTTGGGTTTATTAAAATTTAGGTCAACCCCAAAGCCTATTTCATTATATTTAGGCTTGGTTATAAACTTTATTTTTTTAAATTAATTTTTTAATGTCTACAAATGCTCACCCGAGACTTGTTTACATATTGAATTTTGTATAAAATATTTAAACTGGTCTCGAATTAAATTATAATTTTTTTTTATATATGTGTGAAAATTTAGTCTAATACTAGTACTAGATTTATATAGTGTAATTTATATCTAGTTACATGGAATTCCAACATATGTAGAAGTCCATTGAAGTAAAAGACCTTGCTGCATGAACCCATTATTTTAGGTTCAACAGCGAGTCATTTAGCCAGTGCATATCATTATATCTTCTACGGATTTAATTGTCTTCAAGTCTTATTAATATAAAACTTTAATCCATTTAGAACTCAAAGTACCAATCTTCGTCAATTTAAAAATCTAATTCTAGTAAACCATGAAAATTGCCAATTCATTTATTTCCCAACATGTTCCTAAAATTGAGATTAAGAAGTCTTATTTTATTTGAATTCGTAGAATTAGGGTGTCTATATGATATTTTTTTTAAAAAAAAAATCAAAACTATTATTTGCACATGAACTATAGATTCTAATTGATTATACTTCGTCATCAACTCTTTTTTTGATATATATTTTTTTAAAAAAATCAGAACTAAAATTTGCACATGAACTATAATTCAAATTGATGATGCTTCGTCATCAACTCTTTTTTTGATATATTTTTTTTAGATTTTTCTTATGAGATGATCTCAAAATTTTATTCGAGAGTAACCTTTTTTCAATACTTTATTTTAATTTTTTTTAAGAAGCTTATTACGTTAAGTGATTTTGTCCTAATATTTTTTATTTTTTTAAGACCGACCTTGTTCCCAAGAGATTTTTTTTTTTAATCTTTATTTATTAGTTTTTTGACTAACATTGTTCCATGTAACATTTACCCAAGGATTTATCTCACGTGAGTTTTACCCAAGAACTTACTTTTAGGTAACTTTGTATCACAAATTTTATTTTATTTTTAGTTATTTTTTTATTTTTACTATTTTTTTATTATTTTATCTTCTACTTTTTTGTTATATTTCTAACGTTTTCTTCTTACTGTTATTTTTATTTATTTTGCTCTTTTTTTGTTCTGTGTTAGTATTGGTTATCTTGCTGTCTTTTTTTCTTTTATTTGATTCTTGATTTCTACATGGCTCTTCAATATTTTTTTTTTTTGACTCTTTTTGTTTTTGTGTGTGTAGAGTCTTGATAGGTCTTATTATGTAATCCAATTCAAGCCAACGAAACCAAGTATGTTATCTTTTGTTTATAGTCACCTTGAGTGTATAACTTGTGGATTCACGAACTTTAATTTAATTTTTATTTTTTTAATGCTATTTCCTTATCCTTTT